CAGAAAAACTACAGATGGATTGATATCTCTCAGCACATGCCTGAGACGTCAGACTGCTCGGGTCATCCCTAAACATGAACATTCCAATTGATATTTTCATGGTATTCGGTTGGCTTTTAACTTCAGGCTTTTAACATCCCTTAACTGCAGCTTTAATAACACCTTCTACTGGCGAATTTCTTTGACGTTTCACTCCACCAGCTTTATGTAAAGGTACCTCCTCTTCAGTCGATTCCGTTGTAATATTGAAGTTTTCTCCATGACTAATTCTCTTTTCTTTTGAAAAATCCACCCATAGCTGTGTACATCCACCTCTTACACTACTGTCTGCCAATTCACCACTCGTCCATTCCTTATTTATTCCCCCAAAATTTTCCTTCTCATCCTCCACCCTTAGCCATGGGCTAGGAGTATACACCATTCGCTGTGACGGGACCTTCAAAGAAAGATCCCATTGTGGTGTCAATTCCTGTTTCGACTGAAGAATTCGTAAAGGATAAAATCTTTCTCCATAACCCAATATGCCGCACAAGAAACAGGAAACTCGTAGTTTCTCGTACTGAAAAGTTACGTAAGTGAAACCCCTTTTCAGTAATACGTCATTCTTTCTCCTCTTTAACGATTTACGCACATCCAGTAAAACCCTAAGTCGTAGACAACCCTTATATCCAAGGGTAATGGTCGTTGCATCAAAATCTATATACTGTCCCAGAAAGCTTCGCAATTGCTTTGCTACTTGCCCAGAAATAAAACCAACTAGGAGATCATTCGCCAAAACCTAGAATCCTACCTTGTTTAGATCCACAATCTGTGGGTTCTCATCCTTCAATAAACGATGAAGGAGTAACAAGTGCGAATTAAAGTACCCGAGGCCTTTATTCCAAATTCTCTCCACATGCACCTCATGATATAACCTAAACAAGAATCGCCGATCTTCTAATTCAGTTATCGAGATTCCTCCTATTGGATGCCAAACATTCACCATCATTGTCTTCATAGCCTGAAAAATGATATTACCCGTAGTAAGAAACCGCCCCACCAAGCAATTTTCGAATGAGATTATAGGGCCATTTGTTGAAGCACTTCTTCCTCTTCCGCTCCGAGATCCAGACCCTCCAGCTCCTCCGTTATATCTCTCATCTTCCTTTTTGCTTCCTAACGAAAACCAAACAAACGAAGGTCTACTCACCTATCGCAAAAAGCAAATAAAACAATCAAAGCGGCTGAAAACCCCTAATCTTAGGTAGAGAGAAAACTCTAATCTTGAGTAAATAAATATTAAGAGTTATTTATGAATTTAGACTTTAAATTATTATAATTTAAAATCTTATATATTATCTTATAATTATTTTGTAAAATATAAATTATTAGTTTCAAGTTAGATGAACATATTAATTTAATTCTTTTAAAAATTAAATGAAATTATTTAATGCTTTAGGAATTATTAATTTAATGTTTTTATCTTAAATTTTTCATCCATTTTTTCTTGGTGTTTGAAATTGTGCTGTTTCACTGTTTCTTCCGTTTCATTCAGAAAAAGGAAAATAAAAATAAAAAACGGTCCAATTCATTTTTTTTTTAAATTAGGGTTCATCATAACACCCCATTCTATTCCCATATAAACGATTCTTTAATTCTTCAGTAACCTTTTGTTTCCATTTATTATCGTCATTTATATTCTTTTGGGATCCAAAGTTCCCAACAGCGTTGTTTTTGTGCACTTTCGTCTTGTTGATGTTCTAAAATGGCTGCGCCGAGGAATGTGATGAGGGACGAGGAGAGTGCTGCGCCGGCGTTGTTGAGCATCAGCAGCAAGGAAGATGACGATTCCCCATCGGGGAAGAGATTAAAATCGGAGAGGCTCCCCGTTTCAAGGCGGGAATTTGCTGCCTTTTTCGGGGTTTTCTTGATTTTTTCTGCCGGCTTGTTCTGCATCTACCTGACCATACCCGCTACCGAGTACGGGAAACTCAAGATCCCTCGTTCCATCTCTGATCTGCGATTGCTCAAGTAGGTTCCCCCCCCCCTTTTATAATAAAAACTGGTGTTCTCTCTCTATCTCAATTGGTGAAGAAATAAGCATAATTTGTGTGTTAAATCTTTGGATTTGATCATTGCTGTAGATTTTCGAAATGCCCATTTTAGATTTCTTGTGGTTTATAGGATTTTGAGCTAGAGAGAACTATTGGGATTATTTTAGCTTATAATTATAGTTAAAATTGCTCCTTTTTTGTGTTATATTGTAGGTGAATATAGTTGTGGATGAGAACTCTTATCATTTATATTCTGCCCGAATTAATCCTTTTATTTGTTTTGTCCTTAATGTGAAGCACTAGGGAGTTTAATAGCAATCTATGACTAATGATGAGTTTAGTTCATGTGAGGGTATCGAATAATGCAAATTGTAGGGAGAATATTGCATACCGAGTATACCCAGCTATGTATTACATATTTCTCGTATAGAGATCCGTTAAGACCGAGTGGTCATATTTTGAGAGATGACAATTAGCATATTATGTTAAATAACAGCATCAACATTTGATTTGGCTGTTTTGGTTGCTGAGTTCTGATTTGGTGTTTTCTTATGCAAAGTTCCATCATTAAGTTTCATTAGTTTCGCTCACTATATGTTAACAATGCATTGTTGTTGAAATTGCCATTCCTAATTTATTTCTATCAACTGCTTTAGTTTAATTGTTTATTCACTACTTTCTTGTTGCTTGGTGTTTCTACTTCGTCGTGAACAACTTCTTTGTGTTTTAATGCTTTAGCTGCTACTTATTTTATTGAAGTCTGTGTTTTTCTGTTTTTTTTCAGAGATAATATTGCAACATATGCAAACGATTACCCAACACAATTCATTTTGGGTTACTGCTCAACTTATATCTTCATGCAAACTTTTATGATTCCGGGAACGATTTTCATGTCTTTGCTAGCTGGAGCTCTCTTTGGTGTTAAAGGCCTTTTCTTGGTTGTCTTCAATGCCACAGCTGGAGCATGCTCTTGCTTTTTCCTGTCAAAGCTGATTGGCAGACCTTTGGTCAGTTGGTTGTGGCCTGATAAATTAGGATTCTTTCAAGCTGAGGTACCTTCATTTTTCCTCTTGTTACTGTCTTTGGAAGAACTATTCATTCGTTCGTGTTTTCCCTCTTAATTTAGCATCTTTCACTTGTTTTACCCTATCTTCTTTTCGTTTTTGAATTTGACCCTTTTTTCTCTCCGTGGAATCAGATTGCTAAGCGAAGGGACAAGTTGCTAAATTACATGCTCTTTCTGAGAATTACTCCAACTTTACCCAACCTATTTATCAATTTGGCATCACCAATAGTTGACATACCGTTTCATGTGTTCTTTTAGCAACTTTTATCGGCCTAATACCAGCCTCCTATATAACTGTCAAAGTAAGTGTCGCCATGTACCTCAATTAATTTCATGCATTCTTATGACTGTTTGTATTGTCACCTGAAAATGTCTGTTGCAAGAAAACAGATGCTTGTGTTGTCCAGGTTATTGATACGCCTTGTTTGTGAAGGTTTTATATTAATTGATGTGCATTCTTAACAATTTGGAATAAGAAAAGTTTCTACAAGATCACTATACATATAATCTGAGGTGAAATTCCGTCTACATCAGTTTTCTACTTTTAGCCAAATATGGAGTTGTTCAACCATAGAGACTAACTAGGGAGATTTCAATAAAAAATGTTTGAAGTAGGTGCTTGTTGATAAAGAACCCATTCTTATTTTAATAGGGTTCTTACGTCATATATTACTGAATTTTACTGGATACATTCTCCTAATGTCAGGTTGGGTTCAAAGGATGTTATTTGGATATATTTATTTGTATCCATTTAATGTATCATTCACTGTAATGGAATCGGGTCTCTAACTTTGTGTTGAGACTTAATTCATTTCAATTCGTTGGTGTGTATGCAAGTCAAATGATAGAAAAAGATGGCAGCCATATATATTCAGATACCTTATCTGATTTTAGGAACACCATTGTATCTTCTTTCAGGCTGGCCTCGCACTTGGGGATCTCAGGTCTGTTAAGGACCTCTATGATTTCAAGACCTTGTCCGTGCTTTTCCTTATCGGGATGGTCTCCATATTTCCTACCTTTCTGAAGAAAAAGAAGATATATGAATAAGGCTATGTTGGTGAAGTCTGTGGCATCCTCCTGACTGACAATGGAGGATTAAGAATACAAAATTTTACAATCTCCAAATTTAAGATCCGAGAAACGATAGCGCATAGTAGAAGATCATCATTTCTGCAGCTGAGTATCGAAAAGATCTAGGCATTGTCACAATATATGAAAAGCACAGGGCAGGTAACTTTTATTCTTATTTTCAATGTTATGTTAACTCAAAGTCATCTCCCGATTAGATTATTTAGAACATTTGGGAGTCAACTTTTCTTTTTACTAGAAATGCTTTGTACGCCATGGAATCCAGTTTTACTTTTACAGACAGCACTACATGATAATGTTGCTGTGGAATATGTAAAAACTGTACTCATATGTAGTGTATTCAGTAATAATAGTTTGTCATTTTAGATATAGCTGATATGTGCCTTTCTTTTTCTGGGTTCAACATTCATTATAAGTAGATAAAGTTACAAAAAGGTCTTGTAACTCCCTGGGGGTGCGAAACCGTTTTTCGTAACATTAGTTATAACTTTACAGTCAGATTCAATGATAACACGTTACGGAACCCAGTTCTCGTAACATTTGTTATCACTTTACTATCAGATTCAATGATAACATGTTGCCGGTGTTGCTGAAGTAATCTAGAGTCGAGTTTCAATGTCGAGACTCTGGCATGTAACTGTTAACTGTAAAGGTCTAACAATAACGACAATGGAGGTGGATCCGACCGAATTTCGGTTTTGGAAACGAAATTGCTTTCTTTATATAAAAAAAATTAAGTAAATACAATAGGTAGAAGTGTTTTTATTGACACAAAGCAAAGAACATCATCATCTGGTCCATTGCTAAAGAATCAGCTTGAAAAATAAATAAATACAATCACAGTGTCTATACAAAATCAAACTCAACCAAAGAAAACATTACGGTAGGTTAGCCTTTGGATTTGAGTATGGTAATTTGTAAACGTAAATGTAAAAGGTAAATGTAAAAAAGTAGCTAACTAGAAGAAGGACAAGAGGTAGTAGTAGTGGTAGGGGGCAGTGATGTTAGGTCTTTCACTCCCATTCCAAAGGCATCAGCTATGTTCTTGTTGATGTTGTTTCTCATGCTTTTGCTTCTTCCCAACCCATCTCCCTTTCTCATCATTGCTGCAAATTCCCCATAATCTATTCTCCCATCCTACCATTTTTTTATCATATCAGCAACAACAATCGGAATTATAATGTCGAAACAGTTATGCACTTACGTTATCTTGGTCGATTTCTCTGATCATGTCCTCGAGCGGAACGTCCCCTAGGCCGTACTCTTTGCAAGCTTGTTGGAGTTCATCAATGGTGATGTAGCCGCTACCGTCTTTGTCGAAATAGGTAAATGCAGCGAGTATGTTTTCCTCTCTCTCCATCTTGTTCATGTGCAGCGTCGCGGCGATGAATTCGCCGTAGTCGATCGTTCCGTTGTTGTCGATATCAGCCTGCCAGGGCAACATTTGTGATTGTCATCATGTCACTCAATCATGTTGTGAAGTAATCAATAGCAACTTGAGGAAGAAAGAATAGTTACAGCTTCCATTAAAGCTTTGATTTCGGATTCCATTAGTTCAGATCCCACTTTCTTTAAACCATCTTTGAGTTCCTGAAATGTTATCGTCCCGCTGTTGTCAGTGTCGATCATTTTGAACAACTCTTTCAGACCACCGATTTCTTCCTCGGAGAGTCTTTCTGCAATGACCTGCAAGTGTTTTTCGGTTTCCATTGGAACAGAATGGATGTGAAACATACATGTAAAGGGCTACTTATTATGTCAACATGCATAATTCGAGAATTTGGGGTAGAAGAAAACTCGATAATAGCTTCGAAATCAGATCTCGATAAACCAGAAGACTAAACAGGAAAATCACATACGCGCAGAGCCAACTTTTTAAGTTTGTTCATTGCCGAGAACTGCTTCAGGCGTGACAGCACGGCGGAATCCAGAGGTTTGTCCGGGGCAACTCTATCATCGACGATCCATGGGTGACCTGATGCATAAATCACCCCACTGCAGTGACTTCTTCAACATAATAGAAAAAGCAGGGAAATGGCATTTGGATGACTGACTTACATAGGACTTGATAAGCTGTAATTCTCTGCCTCGGGTGCCTCTGGAGCATCTTTCGTATTAGATCTTTCGCACTTTCAGAGATACTAGGCCACGGCTCGGATGCAAAGTTGAGTTTCCCATGTAAAATCTGTTTGAATATCCCGGATTCGGTTTCTACGAGCAGAGAAGAGAAGTAAAAGACCACTCTAGGATTTGAGACACATGAGAATGAGACCAAATGTTGCAGGATATATGATTGTTACCGGCCCAAAATGGTGGAACACCACCCAACAAGATGTAAAGGATAACACCAGCACTCCATATATCAATTTCTGGTCCATAATGCTTGCACAAAACCTCTGGTGCAACATAAAAGGGACTCCCGACTACATCAGAATAACGTTGTCCTGCAAAAACAACTGCCATAAACGACGAGAGGAAACTCCAAAAAAACAAAAAGGAAATCTCTAGCTGGTAGGATAGGTTTGAAGATTCCAAGCAAATGTATCATAGCAGCAAGCAGGATTTGGTACCAGAGGCACAACCTGGTCACTGACATCCCAGTATAACAGAACATTGTTCAAACCAAGCAAACCAGAATCAACATTCCACAGCTATGATACTCTAACTCAGGTGTGAGTGTTGGATACGAGTAGTCGAGTATGATTAGATTTCTTTAACCTTTTCAATATATTTACAGGATCAATGGAGGTCATATACCACCAACAGAACACTAGATCCTCAAAGTAAGATCGGGGTTCGAATCCTAACGTATTAGTCGGTATATATATCGAATATCAGCATCCATATGAAGAGAAGAAAACCTCAGAAACCAACCGGGCTTATAGAAGATAGACAAGCCAAAATCCGTGGCCTTGAGAACAGCATCATCACCAGGGGAATCAAACAAGAAATTCTCTGGCTTGAGATCTCTATGCATAACCCCAAGGGAATGGCAAGCCTCAACAACCCCAACAATCGTTTTGATAAGCTTAGCCGCCTCTCTTTCACTATAATGACCTTTAGCCACAATCCTGTCGAAAAGCTCCCCACCCTCGCAGATCTCCATGACCAAATGAACAAAAACCGAGTCCTCAAACGTCCCCTTGATCTGCACCACGCTCGGGTGGTCAGACAACTGGTGCATGATCTGAATCTCCCTCCAGACGTCGTCGTAATCCTCGCGGCACACGAGTTTCCGCTTCGGGATCGACTTGCAGGCGTAGACGGCACCGGTGGATCTGTGGATGCATCGGTACGTCGTGCCGAATTGGCCTTGCCCGAGCTTCGTCCCCAGCACGTAATGGTCCCTCAGTCTCGGGGTCTCGTATGGCAAAACCGTGCGAGTTCCTACTAGTTTCATGGTCATTGCCAACAAACTATCTTCAGATTGGATCTCTTCAATTATCTTTTGGATTTGTGACACAGAATGTTTGAGTATTTATTTTCTATTCATTGGTGATCACTCGACGTCAAACGACGTGGTTGCATGCATGAAAATGGAGAACGGAGCTCCAAAGCTCGTGTGTTCTTTTTTTGGACTTTTTCTGTATTTGATTACTATATTTATATGTTTGTGCGTATTCAATCCATCCATTTTCATTTCTTTTTGTTGGCTTCAATTTCAGCCGCTTATTCAATCATTCTATTTTAGAGTTTGAAATTTTGGGGAGTGGTTCTTGTTCATGAAGACATGGTGATTTCAGAATGGCAAATATAACTCCCATTTTGATATTAATTTCATAGACCCGGCTCATCGTGTCATTTATGGTTCTAATGAATCACATCTATTAATTTTAAACCAACTTCCAAATAAATTGTACGTTCTTTATTTACATGTAGGAAAGAGGTGAAGATTCACCTTAGAAAAAAATGAAATAGGAAAATATTATTTGTTGGGACTACGACTGACGTGGTGAGCTGAGTCCATTTAATAATTTTTCTTAGAGAAGATATAACATGAACAAATAAAATGAATCACAATGCTGATAAACAATAGATATAATGTCAAAACTAGCCTTAATTGTTTATTAAAATAGTCATTTTGATTTTTTTTGAGCGATTTGGCCCCCAATGTTTTATTTTGGGACAAAAAGGTCCCTCCGTGGATGGAATTTTTAGTTAACAAATTGGTAATGTTCCAAAATAGGGGTCTCTTTATCTTAAAATGAAACATTGGGGGTCAAAATGCAATAGAAAAAGGAATAAGAGCAAAAATTACTATGCAATCAAATATTAAGGGCCAAAATACTAAAAAAATGGAGGCCAAAATGACAATTTTGATAAATATTGAGAGTTAATTTTGATACAATGTCTAAATAATATGATCATTATTTTAAACAATGTTATGATAAATCGAGTAGATAACCACGCATAAAAATAAAATCGAAATAAGAAATTACGGGTCGAGGTCGGGGCGGCCAAAAAGGGATGGGCCCGGCCCGGCCGTGCCCATCCCTATCAACAGCAGCAAAGGGAAACATATCGAGTTTTGAGTAAGGTCTCCAACCTGTAACTTTATGGTGTATCATGCAATTGAATTGTGGAGTTTTGTTTAGATTGGAGTTCCTTTCTGATTCTCCGAGATTGAATTGTTCATAGTACAAATTTAAAATTTTTAAGAAGTCGACTGCTCGTTACAACTAATCTTTGGTCCATCCATGAGCACCCATCATTTAATTTTATGGAAGGGGACGATTGAAATGAGATAGTTTATTTCGTATTAAAGTGGCTATACGCGTACCAAAAACCAATTGGTTTCGCAATATGCAGCTAATCTCAATGCTACTACGCTCGTGGACAGATACAAGATTTTATGTTGGAGACGAACTTCTAAAATTTTTTGAAAAGAAAATAAATTATCAATAAAAAAATACAAAAAAATTACTTATATGAGAATTTGAAATTTCAAGAGACAATCGTCCCGTCAGCTTTCACTTGGTCCATTCTTAATTGTACTCTGTCCGTGGAGGTTACCGTCCACCTTTCGATCGACGCCTCGAGAGCCAAATTTGAACGACGTTTCTTCAGCAAGAAGTCCCTACGCGGCTATGCTTCGACTGGTTCACCAAATTCTTAATTGCAACTTGTAACACAAAGCATCTATACCTAAACGTATAGCCTAAATGTGAACAGCCCTACTACAACCACGACCTTGATACACTTACGCTTCGATTAGGGCGAATATTCAATTAAGTCGAGTCGAATAAAAACAATTTAAGTCGGTCGTGTCGACAGATCCTATCTTAAGATTTACACTTTATTCGAAACATATCCAAGTGCATGAACCCTAAATCTCGAACCCTAAACTTTCTTAATTAACCGATCTGATGGAATCTAATGCAAGGGTTCGTATACCAAAGAGGTAGCTTAACCAGCTAGGTCCTGTCCCAGTGTGCTTCCTACTCCCTTCCTTCACGTTTTCTGTGATGGTGGGTTAAATAATAACAATACTAATAATTTTATGCGGCAAGGCCAACCATATATCATAAAAGGGATAATAAATTAGTGATAGAAGCAAGCTTGATAGCCGTAGGGGAACGCTTTACAGGGAAACAGGTAGGTGAACTTTGTGCATTAATAAACAAATGAAGAAGAAATAGAGCAGAAACAAAAGGTACCAAAGTACCAACCAAGCACACAAGCAAAACCAAATGGTTCGGTCAATCAACAAAAGCAGAGGACTATAACATTTATGTTTTTTTGCTTTCCTCAAATTCTAGCAACACCCACTCGATCTATCCCTGATTGTCAGATCGGTGAATCTCCACCGTCAACTTATTCAAGGATGGGAGTCGGCGGGAATGGACTTTTCTTCTGAAAAATTTAAATTATCATATACTTTAAGTATATTTTTATATTTTCTAGTACTAATTATCTGTTTTTATTCTTGAAATTTTTATAAGTTTATCCCTCCTAAAATTTTATAAATCCCAATTTTATAAGTCCCATCCCTTTCACACAAAATTTTGGGTATGTCCCTGAACTTACCTAAACAAGGTTAAATTGTAGTTTCGGTCCCTTTACTATGCTTGAATCTAAAACTTAGTCCTACAAATTTAACTTTGTTTAGATAAGTTCGGGGACCAAAACCGGAGAACAAGAACTAAATTTACAACTTACGCATTATAATAAGAAATGATAAAATTTGACCTAACAAATTTCGTAGGTATTGTTTGGGCCGAGATTAAAATTTGAAAATTAAAAGGGACTAAAATGATCAGTTTAGTGTGCAAGGGACTAAATCAACAGCTTATGTAGTAAGGGACTAATAAAATATGATCCCTTTTTTTTCTACCTCTTCTAACTCATCATGTTGACGTGTATGTTTTTGTATTGGAATAGTTTTTATTGGTATATGATGATGAGGACTTAATTAGATCAAATTAAGATATAGGGACTAAATCTCAAATTTGAGTATACTACAGGGACCGAACCCTAAAACCGTGTGTGAGAGAGAGTCCCATTCAAGTGGTTTCTCATTATAAATACTACACACAATCTCTCATTATCAAGCCACAAGCACAGTCAAAAACAACAAGAGAAGCTGCTACGTGCGTGAGATATTTCAAGCCAAAAAAAAAAAAGACTCCAATGGGTTCTGCCGGTTACACCAAGCAGAGGAAATCCTCTTCATCCTTCTCCATCTTCAGCATATTCGCACCGTGTTGTTCGAACGGAGCCGACGACATGATCGAGGACGGCATCTACGTCAGGAGGACATGGCGTAGCGACGAAGACGGGAGACGCTGGACCGCCGAACCGGGTATCGACCGCAGCCTTCATCGACCGATTCAGAACTCGAGTTTCCGGCCCCGAGCGTCAAGCTCTTTCTGTTTAGCCTTACCCTATATCAGTTTTTTTTTTTGTTGCTCATTACATTGGGAATAAGGGTTCTTATTCTTGATACAATTCTTTGAACCGGATAGACTATTCCCTATAACTTCAACTGAATTTCGAGAATTAAATATAAACGTTATATTTAAATATTTGAATTTTCACTTTAAATGAAATTATAAACTTAAACGTGAGTGATCAAAACAAAAATAATTAGGATAAATATGGATGAGCATAGGTTGAGTTGGGTCGGATTTTTTATTAACCCGACCTAACCCAAAAAATAGATCTCCTCCATTCGAACCCAATCCGATTCGAGTTTAGGGTGACTTCACCTGACCCGAAACCCGACCCCGAGTTTTTGAGATAAAATCCGATTTTGATCCAAAATAAATATATTTATAAAAAATTAATTTTATTCAATAAAATAGGGATACAATAGGGATTTAATTGAAAAATAGTATAAAGATGGGCATTATTACAATTGTTCCTAAATATATAAGATATAGTTATATTACTTTTGGGTCGGTCGGGTATTTTTCATCCTATATCGAACCTGACCCGAACCCAAAACTCTTTTTAAAAAATCTGACACAATTAGTTCGGCGTCCTGTGTCCATCCTAGATAAACTACATAGGTGATCACTTATATTTTTAATGTCTTCCTTTGATCACTATTTTTTAAAAAGTTACATTTTGATCGCTTACAATATAAGTTTGTCTTATTTTAATCATTGTATTGTTAATCCATATTAATTTGATGATGTAACACGATAATAAAAAAATTAATTTCAAATTTAAATTGTGATTTTTTTTAAAAAAAATTGTTTTTCACTTTATTAAAAAAAACTCTTTCTCGCAAAAGAAGAATTCTCTAAACTAAATATTAACCATAGGTAGGGCTATAAACGAGTTGAGTCGAGCTCGAATATTGCTGAGCTCGACTCATCTCGAAAACTTTGAAATGGAGCTCGACTCGAAAATTACGAGCCTAAAATTTTTAAGCTTGACTAGAACTCAAAATTATGAACTGAAACTCGTAAAAGCTCGAAAAGCCTCAAAATGAAAAAAAAAACTTAAACTTAACTCGATTGAAGTCTCAAACTCGAACTCGAACTTGAACATTAAATACATGAATACCTTATACAACATTTTAAAAAAATCAACATAAATGTTAATATTATTAATAATTTATTTTTTAAAAAATAAATCTTAATATATTATATTATATTTTCGAGCTGCTCACGAGCTTTTCAAGTTGAGTATCAAGTAGCTCGTTTCGACTCGTTAAGAACTCAAGTCGAGTCCATTCGAATCGAGTATTTATCAAGCTTTAATCGAGAAGATCTCAAGTAGTTTGCGATCTGTTTTGTTTCATTTACAACCCTAACCATACGCTTGCTACCGTCGTCAGTCGTAGCCTTCCCTCCGTCCATAACAAGTCGAAACCACCATCTTTAACCTTTACATCATTGATGTATGTCTATTCTTAATTAAAATGAAAGAAAAATGAAATTAGTTTCAACATCTTCACCTTAAAGATTTGAGCTTTTTTTTAAACAATAAAATGATAATATGCAAGAACTAATTTACCTCAATGGTTAAAGGAATCGTTATTATTTCTACAGATCACGGGTTCGAGCACCAATGACTGTAGCAGGGTGATTGAGTGTTCATTATCAAATGGTTGAGAGTATTTAAAACAGATTTTACTTTGTAATGTACTTAGTTTAATAAAAAAAATGGCAATAAATTTCCTTCAATTGATTGATTTTTTTCGTTAACAACGTTAGTCACCAATGGTGATTTACCTTTTGAAATAACCATTTTTTCTAATAATCGATATCGGATCTATTTATCAACTAATTCAGACTGAATATTGCAAAAGAATGTGACCCTCTTGACTCAGTTTTCTACACTCACAAACAGAAATATGCTATGCGTTGATTATACCCTTCCTTTGAAAATTGAACTAATCAAATAATTCGACTTTCTAGAAAAAAGAAACAAACAAAACTTAGGGTAAACTACAGCATTGGTCATTGGTCTATGGCTTTTTCTATTTTGGTCCAAACTATTTTTGGCGTAATATCAAAATTAGCCCCCCAATGTTTACCTGAATGGCCACTTTTGTCTCCTTTTATTTCTTAGAGCATTTTAGCTTTTAAAGTTTCAATTTTTGGTCAAAGTGACTATTGTTAGATGGAAATCATTAGTTGAATAATGACCACTGCATGTTGATGACATGATATTTCAAATGTGTTTAGTTGTTGATGTGTCACGTCTAGGGTTGTAAATGAGAGAGACAGATCGCGAGCTACTCAAGATCGACTCGGTCAAGGCTCAATAAATACTCGGATCGAATGGACTCGACTCGAACTCGAGCTTGACTCGAATTCTTAACGACCGAAATGATCTACTTGATACTCGACTCGAAAAGCTCGTGAGCAGCTCGAAAATATAATATATTAAGAATTTATTTTTTTTAAAAACAAATTATTAATAATATTAACATTTATGTATTGATTTTTTTTTTAAAAATATATTAAGGCTTTCATGTATTTAAGGTTCGAGTTTGAGTTTGAGTTTGAGGATTCAATCTAGTTAAGTTTAAGTTTTTTTTTATTTCAAGCTGCTCACGAGCTTCAGTTTAGGATTTCGAGTTCGAGTCGAGCTTAAAAATTTTAAGCTCACGAGTTTTCGAGTCGAGTCGAGCTTCATTTCAGAGTTTTCGAGTCGAGTCGAGCTCAGCAATACTCGAGCTCGACTCGACTCGTTTACACCCCTAGTCACGTATCACATCATTATTTTGGTGATATGGTACAGAAAACCATTACCTTGGATGACATGCCATCATCTTGTATGACATGACATGTGGCATATCAACAATTTAGTATATGTGAAAAATATCACATTAGCAATATATGTTAACAGTTAATTAATTAATAATTTTCATCCAACATAAATCATTTTAACAAAAAATTGAAATATTTTGGACTAAAATGTTCCAGGAAAAAGAAATAAGGTTCCAAATGATCACTGGAGCAAACATTAAGATACTAAAGTGTTAAATGTTTTTAGAAGTAAAATAATGACAATTTTTTTGTGGGACTCCTAGATTTTGGGATCTTATAATGTATCACTAGTCACACTTATAAATGAACGGATAACAAGAGTTATGTTAGAGATTTGTATATAATTTGAATTTGACTGGTTTTGATTTAATCTAATTTGGTCAAATGGTTTTTTAATTTGGGTCGAGTCAAGTCAGGCCAGATTCAAATTTATGGTGAAAAAATTGATATGATTTGACCCAGCCCGACCCGACATAATATCATAATTATCTTTTATATATTTAGAAATAATTATAATAACACATTTTCTATGTTTTATTTTTTAAATTAGATCTTTATTACATTAAATAAAAATAATATATATATACACAGGGTTGGATCAGCTTTTGACCTAAAAAATAGGGTCGGATTTTGGGTCAATTAGGGGAAAAGTCTCACGTGCGGCACCCTTAATATACGATTAAGGAAAAACGCTACATGTTTTGTTATTATTATTTTTAATAAAATCGGTAAAAAATTACCGAAAACATTATTATTTCTACCAACTTTGTTATTATTGGGTGCTTTACCGGTTTTTTTAACATATCCGGTAAAACGCTATCGATTTTGTTATTTTTTCTACCAGTTTTATTATTATTAGGCACTTTATCGGAAATGTTAAAAAATATTAATGTTTTATGTATAAATAATAATGTTTTAGGTAATTTTTTACTAATTTTATTAAAAAAATAATAACAAAATTGATAACATTTTTCTTTAATCGTATATTAAAACTGCCGCACGATAGATCTTTCCGTCAACTAGGGCTCTCTTAAATTAGGCCACATCAAGTGTAGGTGGAAGGTTTAATTTTGTGTTGGGTTCGGGTAACTGACCTGACCTTAATCGTTCATACGCCTTGGCACTCTAACGTTTAGGGAAATTTGAATTTCATCCTTTATATTTTTGAAAATTTTAATTAGACCCTTTAGTTTTATTAAAAGAATAAAGTTAAATAATTTGATTGATCGACCATATATAATTGCTCAATATTTTATAAAATTTTAATTAAACCTTACAAAAACAATTAGTCCTTCAAACTACCAATATGTATATTCCTGAGAAGAAATTATTTCATTGACCTGACTTATCACATCATTCATAGTTTTAATGAATTATATCTATTAATTTTAAAATAATTTTTAAATAACCGTCAACACCTTATTTATATATAAAAAATAGATAAAGATTTATTTTAAAAAAATAAATAAATATTATTAATTAAAACTACGAATGATGTGATCAGCTGAGTTAATAATTTTTCCTTAATTGAGTTAGGTAGATAAAGTGACCGACGTGCAAGAACGAACACACAATGGCATCTATTACAAAGCCGTGAAGCAATGTCCCCAGAATACCCTCGATTTGTCTTGCTTTTTCATTGTTGTCTCCGCTATAAAAATGACAAACCATATACAAGTTTTTGTGTTCTGTATTCTCTCTCATCCTTACGTTGGACTGTACTACCTCTCCCTGCGAAGAAAATAGCAAAGGTGTAAGCTTTTTGACGACCACAAATCACGCCGTTGATTTCTCGTTTCCTTGCCGAATGGACGAATCGTCGCCGTCGTCGTCTCCGGAGAAAACGGCGCTTCTGGATTCTCCGCTCCATTTATTTGGGTTTCGGATGCACGAGTTGTCTCCCACCAAAGTCTCGGGTCTCCTCCCTATCACCGAAACGTGTTGCCAGGTTCCGGTCGTGAGATTCGATTTGTTTTTATTTTGGGTTTTTTCTTAAAATTAATGATGTTGTGAATTGTGTTGGGAGAGCAGCCGTTCAAGGTGTTGCACGGCGGATTATCGTCGCTGATAGCGGAGGCGCTGGCTAGCATCGGGGCGCACATCGCCAGCGGTTTCCAAAGAGTGGCGGGGATCCACCTTAGCATCAATCACTTGAAGCGCGCTGAACTTGGTGACCTCATCTTTGCCGAAGCTACCCCCGTTAACCGTGGCAAGACTATTCAGGTACCTGTTTTAAGCATCTTTAAGAGTTGATTGTAATCCTTAAACTTTTAAATATTTTAAATTCCATCCTTAAGTTATGACTCATTTTAAACTAATCCTAAAATTTTTAACTATTTTAATTTCGTCCTCAAACTGTAACTCTCGCTTTAAATTAGTTCTAATTTCATCCCAAGTTATTATTTTATTTAAACCCAACATTAGTTATCATGTACGCCACACCATGTGTATATGATACACATAAATATTTAAATGGTAGTTAACATTTTTGTATTGATTTAATTAAGTGATTAGCATAATAGATTGGGGATGAAATCGAAATGTTCAAAAGTTTGAGACCAATTTAGAATGAGGGTCATAGTTTAGAATGAAATTAGAATGTTCATAATTTAGAGATAAATTTAGAATAATAGTCATAGTTTGGGGATGAAATAGAATATTTAAAAATTTGAAGACTAATTTAAGAAGAAAGTCATAGTTTGAGAATTTGTGGTACACTAGGGATGAATTTGTGGTACAATATAGGAATGAAATTTGAATTTTCAAAATCTTGGAACCAATTTAGGACAAAGATCATACCTTTGGATGAAATTAAATTAGAATGTTCAAAAGTTTCAATAAGAATCATAGTTTTGGGATGAAAATTGAATGTTTAAAAGTTTGAAGACTAATTTAAGATGAAAGTTATAGTTTGAGGATGTGTGGTACAATTAATCACTGGTTTCGGACTCGTTAGATCGTTGAGCACTGGTGTCGGACTCGTTAGATCGATTAATCTAGATTCGAGTTAAATTATGACACTGTTAAATGGCAGGTATGGGAGGTGCGACTATGGAAAACAGAAGCCTCAAATCCAACCTCAGAGAGCAGTAATAGATCCTTGGTATCATCATCGAGGGTCACTCTTATTTGCAACTTGCCAGTGCCGGAGCACGCTAAGGACGCCGGAGAAAATCTCAAGAAGTATGCCAAGCTATGAGTATTCTATATTTGCTTCAATAAACTCAACAACCAGTGAAGGATCACTTGTATTATTCATATATCCATTGGTTGAACAACAATTCCTGCATTGTTCTTAATCTATAAATGTAATACATGTTCGGTTATACCGGCTCATTCAGACATCCCGATAAACCCAAGTGCTCCGCCGAGCTCAGTACCGAACTTGAAAGAACACATTCGAACCACAAACATTATTTATATAGAAGAATATATATCAAACAAGTGATAATATGCATCGCTTCCCTTGTTTATCCATCCAGTTTTGGCAGCAGGCATTTAATTTGCAGATTTTGCAAGTCCTACCCTCATGTTTCCGAAGTCGAACACCGTATGATAAGCACTCAAAAACCTATCTCCGAGTACCCTGCATATATAAACCAGTGAGTTCTTGTCCTGGTCACATTCGACGTGAGTTAAACGACAAAGGGTAACTTTCTTTTTTACGCCGATCGTACCAGAGTGGACCTCTCGGTGGAGGCACGTCTAGACCGATGAAGCTGCTAACACACACTGTTGAACAGCCTTCTTCAACTTTAATGATATACTATATATGCCAATGGACAAGACAAACTGTGAGTGTCATGTATGTAAAACTGTATGCGTTGCTCCAAGTTGCATATTTGCAGTAATAAATTCAGACCAGAATAGATGTTCATACATGGTGTGGAGTAAGAGGGAAAGATTTGTTTCCGATGGTGAATGTGATGTCCGGCAGAAGTTCGAGGTAATCGCAGTTGACGAACGATTTTCCGATGGGGTTTGGAAGAGTTTCGCATAGCTTCGACATAACGGAAAAGATTCTGTTAGTCCATCTCCACATCTATGTATGTATGTATGCATGTATTTATTCTCTCTGCAGGAAGAATCACCTGATTAATGTGTTGGAATACCATATCCTTTGTCCTTTGTTGCTTGAGCTGAACTTGAATCCAGAAAACAATCATCTCACAGAAAGTACACATCGGAGCCTCGCCCAGTGATGATCCTTCAATGGTTCCGTTTTTGACCACCATCTTCAGCCCGTCTCTGCAAGGATCGGTTCGAGCTGAGTGCTCCTCCTTGAACCAACTCAACATAAAACCAAACCCCACTTTCCACAAGTAATATCAATGGTAATAATATCAGTATTGTTACCTCGCTCGCTGTGATCCGTTATATGAACATAACCCGACATCGACACACAGAATTTCAGGGCGTATCTGCAGGAACGAATATAGATCTTTATGGCAATCAAGAGTTGGTATTCTAAAAGACTATTTGAGAATAAATGGAAGAAAATAACTAACCCCAGATATCAAGTTGTCCCATAAAGCATATCCATACTTGGAAACAACACTCTTGCATTCCAAGCTTACGATTCCTTCTGCCCCGATTGCGCGGTTGATCTTGTCCACAATTGCCTGGAAATGACTGCTAGTGAGTCTTTTAATGGCGATAGAAGTGGAAACAACAGAGATTTTTTTTATACATATCCATTTCACCGAAATTAGAGCAGTTAATTCGAACGCAAATGGTATAAACACATACAGTTGGCCCAGCAATCAAGGGTGTCCCAGAATCCAGAATGGCTGCACATCCAAACTTGCATACTCCTGAACAATACAAGTATTAATATTAAGGCCTCAACAATTGGTTCTTTCAAATCGAATCAAGTTTTTCTCACCTCTAACCTTAATGACCGCATAAAATTTTAGTACGTACATTGACCGAAGCATATATCTTAAACTTAGCCAAAGATGTTTAATCTTCTAAGACAAAGTAGATAGAAGGATACCTGTTGAGTAGTCCTCCACAAATACATCTCCCACCAAAATCTGGAATGATGAATGAAATGTTTGTTTAAATAACAACCTTTATCATGGGAGGAAGCAATGAGTAGAAGAGTATAAAAACAAATGAAGAGCAGACCTCCCAATAACCGGTTTTTGCGACCGGGACGTAAGTGTGGTCACCTCTGAAGTGCCTCCAGTCAAGACCTCCAAACACAATTTCTCCTCCGAACTCCGACGTAGAATCTCGACTTAGCCAGAGGGAGAAAAGTTTGTGGTCAATGTGACCTTGTTGCACCATGTTCATCCTGAGTATAGAGTTCTATGAGCTATGAAAAATCCATTGCTAACACTTGACCAAGAAAGAAGTATATACATACATGTATATATATATATATATATATATATATATAAGATCATTAGAAGAGAAAATTATACCACACAGGATTAGCTCGTTCCACAGAAATATCCTGGAACCCAAGTCCAAGAATTCCATCATATTTCGCAATAAGGAACGGTAGAAGAGGTTCCTTGGTAATCTCTATGAACTCCTGAAGAATTGTATTTGCCATAACATAAATTTTATGAAACACAATTCTGCAAAGCATAATATTTCATATATAAAAAAAACTCACTTGATATTCAACAACAATATCTCCAACTCTAACATGATCCAGGCCAAAAAAGCCAGAAATAGCTCCAGCCCCATAGCTGATTGTGCAAGGTATCCCTGGAAGAATCCAAAGAATGTTTCGAAAAGATGTTAAGAAAAGGCATACATTCAACAACTGCAGAGAAACAAACCAATTACCAAACGCAATGCAGGCAACAAAATTACCAATCTTGGTATAAGTACTCGACGACGAAGCTCGAAACCTCGAATGTAAATGACAAGGAATCTGCAATTTCACAATGTAGTTCATATGGCTTCAACAATATTCATCACTCTGAATTTGAATTCAAGAGCTTTGAGGACACTTACAGAGAAAATACATTTTGAAGATGGCACCCAAAGATTAGAGCTAGCTGTGTCGAAAACGACCGAAAATCTCTGAGAAGGCGAACCAATGCCAATTTCACCATAATATTGGATATCAAGATAGTTCTTTAGGTAAATTACACCAGCTTCCTGATCATTCACATTGCTATCAAGCCCTTCTTGGGTTATCCTCGCAGCATTCAATCTTTTAAGATCTAGAGGCTGCTTCTTAAGAGTGATCCGAGCTAGCCCATCAGATGACTCAGTGAGTACTATCCATGAGGTTATCCAAGTGAATACACAGATTGCAGGCAAAAGAAACTTAATCCCCATCCTTAATAAACCAAGGAGAAAGCAAAGATGAGTATAACTCACATAACAAAAACGATGATGATGATGATGGTGAAAGATAACATACATACATACCTGTGGTTGATCTTGGTGTAAAGTGATGAGAAACCCAGAGTTGCTTCATCTTTAAGTAGCTTTGGGAGAAGATGAGTAGCTTCAAAGGGTATTGCTGCACATTGATGGATGATGGGTTTTCGAATTTCATGGAGACGATCTCTCTTGCTATGTTTGCGAAGCTACCACGTAGTTTCCGATCACAGGGTGAAGCAACATGAAAGAGCAAAGGGGTGTGTTTATGACGTTGAAGCTTGGATTTGAATGTGTTGATCTTCTTTAAGTTATAGCCATGACAGGGATTCGATTGTCCTCTACCAGAGTTTTTTTCCCTGTTTGTTTTGAAATTGGAGTTGATTGTTGAAGAACACGGTGTGTGGGTTAATGGAATTAACTGGCAACTTCTACGAATTTGCGACTCTCTGATGCTAATTAGCAGTTCCAACAAGTTTGGACTGTGAAGTTCTGTGCTCTTTTTGTCAGATTGTAGAAGAAAAAGAAAGAGAAAACGATATTGATTTTTGTTGCCTAATAGAAACGATTTGAACACATGCGAGCAAAAATCGAGTTCATGCTAATGTACCATTACCTTAAAAAAAGGGGTAAAGTATAATAATGGTCATTGAACTTTTCTAAAGCTTTCATTTAGGTCTCTAAACTTTTAAAACTTGCAATAAAGTCCTCCAATATTTAGTCAATTTGCAATATGGTCCCGACGTTACACTGCCATTAGTACGTTTGCAATATGGTCACTGAACTTTTTAGGCGCTTGCATTTAGGTCCCCCAACTTTTAAAACTTGCAACACAGTTCTCAATTTCATTATAAACCTCAAATTCCTTTTCGATCTCGAATTTCCTTTTTCGATTCTCTCTTCTCATTTCCAACATAACTTTTTATTCGGGGATGCATGAGAAATTCTAATCTAACTTTGAATTATATAGAGGTGTTGACTTGAATAAGGGTTTATTGAGAGAAGACTCGACCAAGGAACTATCGAGACCATCAACGATTCAATGTGTAATGTCAGATACATGTCATCTCAGGTGAAGCACAGATGTTCGATGAAATGCTTGTGAGAAAGAAATGGGGTTAGAAATGCAGAGTTGACAACTACCACTAAGATGTACTAAGTATTATTATTGAAAGTCACCAACAAAGCTGGAATTATTTTGTATAAATGACATATAATAATTTCTTCGTTTAATCCTTGTGGTTAAGGATTTTCTAACAGATGATCAAATATAATGAAATCCCAAACAGCGCATTCACCTCTCAGTCTCTTTCGCAACTCGAAAGACATCATGACAGGGTCAAGTAGCTACTTCAAATATAATACCCTGCCATGATGCCTTTCGAGTAGTGTGCATGCAGAATTGTCTTCTAAAGCTATAATTCAATACAATTCAATTGTAAAATTTCCAAAACATGTAAAAATTCCAATTCGTTCACGATATATCAGTCCCATAATCAACATGAACTTATTAAAAAGAATACGAGCTCATAGGATGCCGAAAACCACAAGTCGGATTAATACAATTCCTAGTAAACTAGTACAACAGTCTCTCAGATTGAGTCTGGTGATTTCACTATGTCGATACTCACAACCAATTCCCTGATTTAAAGAAAAACCAAACAAGAAGATCAAAAAAAATTTAGCCTAGGACCCTTTTTCACTTCTATTCTGATGGACTGAATATATGTAATAAGGAATACTAAAAGTTTTGATTAAGAAGAAAGAAATAAAATAGATGGTTTTGGTTCAAAACTAACACTGAATATCCAGATCATTAACATGCAGTTCCAGAAACATGAAAATTTCAACAAAAAATACACAATGCGAGCTGAAAATGGGAAAGTGCGAAAGAGGAAAAGCTTACTTCCAGATAGCCCAAAAGAGAAAATAAATACCTTCTTGCAAGTGAGGGGAGACGCTAAGAAATAAACACAATCGGTGTTGCGTTCCAGCAATTCTTCCTCCATTTTTTTCTTTGTAAATAAAAAGCTGAAAGACAGAGCACTGCTTGGGTTTACAATTTTACATGACAAAATGTTGTAGAACAAAAACCAAACGAGAGTGCATGTGAGCGAAAGAGACTGAGAGGTGAATGTGTTGTTTGGCATTTCATTATATTTGATCATTTGTTGGAAAATATTTAACCACAAGGATTAAACGAAGAAATTATTATATGCCATTTAAACAAAATAATTCCAACTTTCTTGGTGACTTTCAACAATGATACTTAGTTCATCTTAGTAGTATTTGTCAACTCTGCATTTCTAACCCCATTTTTTCTCACAAGCATTTCATCGAACATCTATGCTTCACCTGACATGACGTGTATCTAACATTACACCTTGAATCGTTGATGGTCCCGATAGTCCCTCTTCTCTCAATGGACCCTTATTCAAGTCAACACCTCCACATAATTCAATGTTAGATTAGAATTTCCCTTGCATCCCCGACTGAAAAGTTATGCTGAAAATGAGAAGAGAGAAACGAAAAAGGAAATTCGAGATTGAAAAAGAATTTAGGGTTTAGAATGAAATTGAGGATTATGTTGCAATTTTTAAAAGTTGAGGAACCTAAATGCAAGTACCTAAAAAGTTCAGTGACCATATTGCAAACGTACTAACGGTAGTGTAACGTCGGGGACCATATTGCAAATGAACTAAATATTGAAAGACTGTATTGTAAGTTTTAAAAGTTGGGGGACATAAATGAAAATTTTAGAAAAGTTCAGTGACCATTACTATACTTTACCCTAAAAATACTAGTACATGTTTAATAAATGGGCATTAGGTCTCTAAAGTAAAGTCAGATGTTCGAATCCTGACGTTTACGAATGGAACAAACTATGTTAGGAGGGTCGCCCTCGCCTCTGCAGTACCCGATCTGGATTAATCGGTCAATAGATCGGATACCAGTAATTAATTCAAAAAAAATAAAAAATAAAAGGGTAAACTACAATCGCTTATGTTTGAGTAAGTTTTTATGTTCGACATTGAACACTTACACCCTTGACATCTATGGTGCTCAAACTCGGGTCTTCAAAGAACATCAACAATTCTTATACCACGATTATCCATGTTAAATTGATTTGTGCAAATCGATAACGTTATCTATGTTTAAAAATCGATAATGTTATCAATTTGTGACAGGATAATCACCAACGTTATCGATTTGTAACAAAATTGTCACTCCACCATTATCTATGTTAAATTGATGATGTGACAACGTTAATAAAATTATTAATATTTAGTTTTACTCCTATACTATTGTTAGAACAACAAATAGATCTTTAAACAATGATTTTATATCTAATTTATCCCAGAAACTTTTTAATTTATATTTATTTCAAACACCCCACCACCAAAACTATATTTAGACCACATTCCTTATAAAACAAAAATCTCACTGCATAGATAAATGGAGTTTTTTTTCAAGACAGATATATGAGTATTTAAAGCCATATATTCAATTAATTTTAATATAAGAAAAATACACAAGACAGCATGCAAATCACAAAAATTATAAACTAACTGATGACAGTTCCTCCATTAAAGATATGTTAAGCATTAAGCAAACCAAGATACAAAGGATCAAAAATGCAAAATACCTAGGCCAATAACAGTAACAAATGAATCAAATTAATAATTAACAGATATGCAAAGATTAATAATAGGGTGCAATAGCAACTCAGGGTTGTTTAGTGCAACCATTGTCATATTCTTTTCATTAACTTTCTAACCTAAAAAAAATATTATGAAAACAATTTATGTGCACTTAAAGGCAAACTAATAAGTGAGAGTTTGTTTAAGTTTGGTTTTCGTTTTGTAAGAAAAGTGGTTAGAATATGATTAAAATGGTGGGGTGTTTAAAAAACTGGAAATTAGAAAGATTTTGGGATAAATTAGATATAAAATCATTATTTAAGGACATATTCAATGTTTTAGCAATAGTTTATGTGTAAAACTAAATATTAACCTTTTTATTAACGTTGTGACGTCATCAATTTTATAGAGATAACAATGGAGAAACCATTTTGTTACAAATCAATAACGTTAGTGATTAATTTGTTACTTTTGAAACTTCAATGGAAAAAATGAGAACTTACTCAAACATTAGTGACCATTGCTGTATTTTTATCTAAATAAAATTACGTCTTCATCAAAATTATTTGGGATAAATTACACGTTTGGTAACTGAACTTTAAGCTATCTCTTATTTCACTCATTATACTTTCAATTTTTTCAATCTACTCATTATACTTTATAGAATGATTTTTTTTGTCACTCCATCGTTAAATTATTAACGGCGTTATGAAGACATCGTATTTAATCGAAACGACTCCGTTTTAGTCTAAATTTAATTCTTTAAGGAATTCAAAACGACATCGTTTTGATGTATGTGTCATGTCATAACACTGTTAATTATTTTAACAGGGAGTTGACCAAAATAATTCAATCTATAAAGTTCAATGAGTAAATTAAAAAAAATTTGAGAGTATAGGTAGTGAAATATAAGAGTAAAGTTCAATTATCATGCCACACCCTAATTTAAGAGGCTAAATATTATTAATTTAAAGTATTGAATTAAAATAGTAATAGAAAAATGGAGGACTAAAGGCATAATTTACCATTTTTCAATTATGGAGAGTTTAAAACTCGCACGGAAAATTCCCCAAATTCTTTTCTCTCTCCTACCCTTTCCTCTTTTATTTTTCTCTTTCCTCTAAGAAAGTTTCATTGGTATTTCGTCGTCGACCAGTTGTCCATTAACGACACCGCATGCGCCACCTTTCTCTTGGAGTTGAGAGGAGTCATTGTTGTCATTGCCGTTGAAAGGGGTGAGAAATGGAAAGTTTGATTATTCAAGAAGGTTGATTTTTTCCATTCTCCGTCGTTCTCCATTGTGAATCGATGTTTACACGAGAATCTTGAGCTGAAGATTTACAAATATGGATTTTTTGGTTGTTGTCCGACCACCGACGACGTCATACGCACCGCCACTCATGTGTGGGCTTCGTTTGTA